AAGGCCCACCGCCGCGCCCTTGCCAGCTCCCCCCGCGCGCCCTCCCCCCGCCGCTGCGCCGACCCGCGCTTTGCACTTGGCGCAGCCCGCCATGCGTCGCGCGCCCGCCGCTACGGCTGCAGGCAGCGCAACCTCCAGCCCCTCCCCGGCTCCGAGGTGCCAACCTGCAGGGGGCTGCAGCGGGCGCAGAGTTGGGGGCGCCACGCCTCGAACGGGGCAGCACGCCTTCCGACCCCCGAACTCGGGCGCCCCACTGGGCACCCCTTGCAGCCAGCAGACTTCGCAAGAATGAGCAGGGCCCGCTAGGCCAGAAGAGGTCATTGAGACAGTCGCACCGAGCGGCACGGCAGCTCTCAGCGGCGACAGGTCTCTTCAGGGCTGTGCCCCCCCTCCCGCAGACGGCCCAGGCGTGCGTGCCCTCCGACATTCGAGTCCCGATGTCCTCCCTTGCGCCGCTGGCGGCCCGCTGACTCTCCAAGTAAAGCAGGGCCCCTTAGGCCACAAGGGAACGCAGCGTTGTCTCTTTGGACTCGCAAATGAGACAGGGCCCGTGAGGCCAGAATGGCGTCGGTGACATCAGCCCCCCTAACAGACGCAGGGCCCGTTAGGCCAGACGGTAGAGCGCGCTATCAGTCGGCGACCAGTGGCCGTTAGCCACCCCTGGTATTGACTGCTGGCATCACTGGCAAGTGGCTGCCCAGCACGGGGGCCTTCGCCGCAGGCCCCCGTCAAGTTTCACCCTAGACGCAGCTCGCCGCGTTTGGGCGCGGCCGATGTTGCGGGACCTGCAGAGAGTGCTGCTCCCCCTGGCGCCACTCTCTGCCCAGCCCTCGCTGCCCCCCGCCTTTGGGACTTGGGGGGCGGCCCGCTGACAACGCTGGCTCGTGGACTGCCGCTGGGGCTGTGGTCCACCTGTTCCCCGCCAGCCTCTGGCCCGCTGTAGTTGTTTTCGCTTTTGGCGCGTCTCCCCCGCGCCCCCGGGGGCCCTTCCGTGCCGGGATGCCCCCCCCCCCCCCCCCCACACGCACGGCTGGCGTCCCGCTTCCCTCGCCTGCGGCTGCGTGGCGCATCCCCAACAGCTTTGGCCCCCGCACCCCGCTGAAATCGCGGCTCTGCTCCCCTCGTGGGTAGGCGGCATCGGGTGCTCGTGGTTCAGCCTGGGCACCCTTCCACGGCCTCACCCTCGCGCCGCCCTGGCGTTGCACGTTCGAGGGCCGACCCGCTCTGGCTGGATGTCGGCCAAGACGCATGGGGCCGCCCCGACTGCTACCCACCCTCGCGCCGCCCAGGCGTTCGTTCGAGGGCCAACCCGTTCTGGCTGGATGGCGGCCAAGTCGCACGGGGTCGCCCTGACTGCTAGCCTGTGTTCAGTTCGCGTCAGTCGCCTCCTCTAGTCGGGTGGCTGCGGACTGCGCTTCCTCTTCGTGGGGACTGGTGCGCGACTTCACTGGCGCCACCACTCGCACCCGCTAGACCGTGGCGGGCATCGTGGGCATTCCGTGTTGCCCCACCCTGGTCGCGCCGTGGTGCTCGTGCGCGCCATTTTGGCTGCGCTTCAGCCTCTTTAGGCCAATTCACTCGCTTGCAATTCGCCTCCTGGTAGTTGTTGGCCGTCGGCTCGGGCCACCCTGGCAGCTTCTACAGTCACAGCGGTTGCTTACGCTTTGCATTCAAATTAGCTTCCTGCAGACCCTGGCAGTCGGTCACCCCGGCAGTCAGCCCCTGCAGCTGTTGCACGTTTGCACCGCTAGGTAGCACTGCAGCCCCGCCTCCACTCCGGCGACTTCCTGGTCCTGTTCTGAGTGTCCGTGCTCGGTTTGCTGCTGTCTGTCTGATTAATACCTCGCGCGGCCCGCCTGGACTTCGACGCGCCGCTGTTGCGCTTTCGCCCGCGGCCGTTGACAAGAGATATCCCCGCCAGTGCCCCTGGCAGTGTTGCAGCCCCGCCCCCTCTTCGGCTACTTCCTGGCCCCGTTCTGAGTGGCGGCGTTAGGCCTGCTTCTGCTTGGTTAATTAGGCCCTCGCGCGGCCCGCTCGGCTTCTGACTCGCCGCAGCGCGCTCTCGCCTGCGGCTGCTGACACAAAAATCCCCACCAGTTTTGAAGTGTTACCTGTTCGACCAGGTCGATGGCTCCGGGTACTCGCTGGGCTCTCACCTGCGGCCGTCATCGCGAGCGCGTTATTTTTTCTTGTTTTTGGTTTTTGCTTCAGGCCCACGCACGTGATTCGCAAGGCGTCAACCTACGGCCTTTTGAAGTCTTACCTGTACGACAAGGTTTCCCTCGGGTTCGGGTACTTGCCCAGCTCTCACATGTGTGCGTCTTCACTTGCGCGCTCCGCTCGTGCCGACATGCTCTTCTGGTTCGCGCCCACGGGCTCTCGCTGTCAGTTTATGGCCATATGAAGTTCGACCTGCACGGCAAGGGTGGCTTGGGGCGCCTGGTCTCGGTCAAGGGTTCCTCTTCACGGTGCACCTTTTCTGCCACCTGGCCGCCTCCTCGTGCCATCTTGGCTGCGTCTACCTCTGGCGCGCGGGGGGCCCGTCTGTCACCGTTTTGCTCTCGTTTTCAGCGTCCTCTTCGTGTTCTTCCTGCCTTCCCGGTCGCCACGCTGGCCGCGCCTACGTGGCCCTCGTCTTCGGCGCGCTCCTCTGCCTGCTCGCCTGGCCGGCGCCGCGGCGTGCGTGCCTGCGCTGGTTATCCCTTTCGCTACCGGCGCGGCACGCTGTAGCACGCTGTTCGACTCGTTTCGCGCGCCCGCGATCCAAAAAATATCCCCGCCAGTTTGTTTTTCCTTTTGCCGGTGGCACGGCCTGCCCCTGCATGCCCAGCGTTCGACTCGTTTCGCGCGCCCGCGTACCGAAAAAATACCCCCGCCAGCCCATCCAGAAACGATGCCCATGAGAGTTAATAAGGGGTGAGGAAGAGCCACGCATAGTCAAACAGCGAGGGAGGTTCGGGAGGCTCCGCGGCCATCTCGAGCCGTTGGGGAGCGGTTTTGGGCCGGTTTGGGGCATCTTGGGAACCATCTTGAGCCAGCTAGGGTTATCCGTCTGAGCCATATTGGAAGTCATGTTGGGCCCTTTGAGGCCGTTCGGGGGCCTCTTGGGTGCCTTTTTCGGGTGCCTTTCGGAGCCGTGTTGGGGCCTTTTTGCGGGAGTTTTGGGGTTCCTCTTGGGGGCCTCTTTGGAACCCTGGAGCGCCTCTTGGGGCCATTTTGGAAGCGGTCGGTTAAAAAAGGGGGGTACTGAATGTAGTTCCCGCCTTCGGGGGTTACGATTCTCGTGACGGGCGTCAAAAATTGGCCCTCCCTCGGGCAGAATAAGGACCTTCTGACACATCGGTCCCCCCCCCCCCCCAGAAACATGTCAGGGAGGGGAGGAGGAGGGCTCCCCTCCCCGAAAGGAAGAGGGGCTGAAGAAGAGGAAAGAGACACTCCTTAGACCACCTGTCGCCCAAAGGGCTGGTGGGATATAGGGAATCCGGGGATTTGTGTATTCCCTACCTAGGCTCTGCCTAGAAGGGTTCTTAGTCGCTTGGCTTAAAGGGGCCAGGCAGTGCAAACCGCCCCGGGCGGTTCCCCCAGTCCCCTGGGACCCAAGCAAAAGCAACAGCAAAGGTAAAAGCAAACGCGCGGTTCCCCCCCAGTTGCGCTCCCTGGGTGCCAAGCAAAAGCAAAAGCAAAAGCAAAGGCAACAGTGAAGGCAAAAGCGAAGGCAACGCAATAACATATCATAGCATAGCATATCATAGCGCAGCATAGCATAGCATAGCGCCGCATAGCATATCATAGCCTAGCCTAGCCTAGTCTAGCCTAGCCCAGCATAGCAGTTCGCAGCATAACATAGCATATCATAGCAGATAATAGCATAGCATAGCACTGCATAGCGAAGTGTAGATGTAGATGTATATGTAGGTGTAGATGTAGATGTAGGTGTAGGTGTAGGTGTAGATGTGGATGGAGGTGTAGATGTAGATGTAGATGTAGATGTAGATGTAGATGTAGATGTAGCTGTAGATGTAGATGTAGATGTAGATGTAGGTGTAGATGTAGGTGTAGATGTATGCGTAGATGTAGATGTAGATGTGAGTCTCGCTGTTGATGTAGATGTAGATGTAGATGCAGGTGTAGATGTAGATGTTGCTGTAGGTGTATATGTAGATGTAGGTTTAGATGTAGATGTAGGTGTCGATGTAGATGTAGGTGTAGATGTATATTTAGATGTAAAGAACTCCCCAGTGCCCCGCCCTCATCTCCGTGCCTGCTTGCTTTTGCTGCTGTCTCGGCGACTTGCTGCCTGCTTCTGCTGCTGCTTCACTTACGGCGTGGCGTCGGCGGTTCTGGCGCTACTACTACTACTACTACTACTACTACTACTACTACTACTACTACTACTACTACTGCTACTACTGATACTGCTACTGCTACTGCTATTGCTATTACTGCTACTACTGCTACTGCTACTGCTACTGCTACTACTACTACTACTACTACTACTACTACTACTCTACTACTACTACTGCTACTACTACTACTACTACTGCTACTACTACTACTACTACTACTACTACTACTACTACTACTACTACTACTACGACTACGACTACGAACTACTACTACTACTACTACTACTACTACTACTACTACTACTACTACTACTACTACTACTACTACTACTACTACTACTACTACTACTACTACTACCGCTACTGCTACAACTACGACGATGAGGAGAAGGAGGAGGACGGCGTTTACCGCTCCTACTAATCTTGCTTTCCTCGAGGCTCCAACTCCTAGGTAGGGTCGCACTGGGATAATTTTCCTTTTATATACGCTTCCGAGGCTTGCGCAGTGCTGTCAACAGAGCCCCTAGATGCAAGGAGCGTCAAACATGAGATTCCATGCGTTCTGCGATCCAGTCTAGCTAGAATTTGATTGCGCGCGAAGCGCGCGCGATGGTTCTAGAAATTATTTGCATGTGTCCTGGGGCCCCTGCGCAGGAGGAGGAGGGCCTGCCAGGCCTCCCAGAGGTCGAAGACCTGGACGAGGAGGACGAGAAGCATGTACCCACTGAGGGGCCAGCCCCAGCCACGGAGCAGAAGCCGGCCGAGGACGCCCACGAGGAGGAGGAGGCGGAGGACGAGTTGAAGAAGTTGGTCGCGGAGCAGAAGCCGACCGAGGAGCAGAAGCCAGCCGAGGCCGCTCAGGAGGAGGAGAAGGAGGAGCAGAAGCCGGCCGAGGAGGCCTCCGAGGTGAAGGCTTTGGAGGCGTTCGGCGGCACCACCGCTTCGACGACCGCCCAGTTCGACGTGGCGAACGCGGACGGCTGGGGCGCCACCGTCCCCTCGACCACCACGCTGTTCGAGCTGGCACCCGCGGGCCAGGACTCAGGAGGGGAAACACACACACAGACAAGGAAACGTCGATCCCCAGGAAAACATAGGGGAAACTATGGGAAGTGGGTGGAAGGCAAAAAGCCACGACGATATAGGAAAATAGGAGCTTGTGGGAAGTGAGTGGAAGTGGGCGGAACATATACTAGCCGGCCGCTCTGCGGTTGATCGGGAGTTTCTGTATATAGAAGAAGGTGCGTGCGCTTGTTGGCGAGGGTGAGGATGAGGTTCCTCCTCCTCCTCCTCCTCCTCCTCCTCCTCCTCCTCCTCCTCATCCTTCTCTTGCCTCCGTCTGTCCTCCTCCACCCCGCAGCTCCATCATCTTCTCCTCCTCCTCCTCCTCCTCCTCCTCCTCCTCCTCCTCCTCCTCTCCTCCTCATTCCTCCTCTGGGCACCTCCCCCGGGGCGCGGATCCACCGGATCTGTCCGGATCTGTCCGGAAACGGTGCCGGAGGCCGCTCTGGGCTCCTCTGGGCACCTCCCCCGGGGCCGGTTTTGTGAGGATGTCTCAAGCGAGGGCGCCGGTTTGGGATTCGTCCCCGGATCCAGCGGATCCACCGGATCTGTCCGGAAACGGTGCCGGAGGCCGCTCTGGGCTCCTCTGGGCACCTCCCCCGGGGCCGGTTTTGCGGGGATGTCTCAGGCGAGGGCGCCGGTTTGGGATTCGCCCCCGGATCCAGCGGATCCGTCCGGATCCGTCCGGAAACGGTGCCGGAAGC